CCCCCCCCCCCCTTTTGAAAATCAAAATCGCTTTGTTGCAGATTTCTGCATGACTATTGGAGCATGGTATGGCACAGTTGTAGAGGACACTTTCAGTATTGCTATTTGTGCAATTCATGGGCCATGGCATGTGGTGTCTAACTTGACAGTTTTAGCCTTGTGTCTTGAATGAAGATGACAAGCAGATAAATCCCCGAAGTTATTCTTCCAAAGTGACACTGTAATTCCTGGTTAAAGTGGTAGTAGTAGTTAATTATCCATTTGCTGACGCAGAATTTTTTTTTTTGAGGAATAAAACAATGCATAAAATGACCAAAAAAAGAGCACATAGATCCATAGCTTTTCTCAAATCTGACTTTTTGGATAGATGTAAATGTATTTTATCAACTGTTGAAATACGTTCCTTCTGTGGACAGGCATAGTGCCAGGACTGTGTACTAGGGAACTAAATCCATTTTCTTCTTTCTCTCTCCCTCTCTCTCTCTCTCTCTTTAACCTTGATAGAAATGACCCTTACTGCATTTGAGTTTTTTTAGAAACTTGTTTGCTTTACAAGGCCTCGTTTTTATTTGCAAGTAAAAATTATGTTTATTTTAAATATTTTCTATTTAGATTTACTTAGAGCACAAAGAGGATACAAAGAATAACTTTTCTCAGTATGTGTGTTATTCATCTTACAGGTGTCAATATAACCATTATATGCCACAACTTAATTTAGGATTCATGAGAATTTCCATGAAATTAGACTACGTTAAGCACTGGACCAAAGCACAGAAAATGTTCTTCTATCAAGGCTACCAGAACAGAGATGGCTACATTAAGTGTTTTGGTATTTATGCTTTTGTTTCTAAGCAGGGAATCTAAAACGAACAAATCTTTGTAGATGAGACGTGGCTAAGGACTTTGGGCTTGTCTATTTTGGAGAAAAGAAGGCTAAGAGGAGACCTCATTGCTCTCTACAGCTTTCTGAGGAGGAGAAGTGGAGAGGGAGGCATTGAGTTCTTCTCCCTGGTATCTAGTGATAGAACGTGTGGGAATGGTTCAAAGCTGTGTCAGGAGAGGTTTAGACTGGACATTAGGAAGCATTTCTTCACCAAGAGGGTGGTCAAATAAATACTGCAACGGGCTTCCTAGAGGGGGGTGGTAGATGCCCCAGGCCTGTCAGTGTTTATAAGAGGCATTTGGACAAGGCCCTGAATAACATGCTTTTAAGTTTTGGTTAGCCCTGAAGTGTTCAGGCAGTTGGACTTAGGTGATCACTGTAGGTCCCTTCCAACTGAAATACTCAATTCTATAAATTATAAAGTTGCACTGCCTGGTTTTATTTTTATTTTTAACCTGAGGAAAATACAAGCTATAATTCTTAAATTTCATTAACTGGGGTATATCCTGCTTCAAGCCACAGCACGGTAGCTCTACAAAGCCATGAGATGAATGGTGATCATTACTGCTGTAAGACAGCACACCCCTGTGAAAGGAGCTGATCAGTTTGGGGGACTTTTTTTAAGGAAATCCTTAGAAGCATTAACTGGCCTAGTGGAGAGAAGTCTGCCCTTCAATCAGGCTAGATAAATGTATGAGGGAACAAACAACTCGAAGTTGAACTCAGTGCAAGACAAGGAATCCAGGTTTCAGGAAAGAAAACTCTTTTATCACATTTTGAGATGTTGATCACCTCACAGTCACTTGAATCTGCAACATGCTGATGGGGTGGCCTACAGCATGAGCTGTCTCACCTATGTCAGATTTCTGTTTCTAGAAATCATGAAACATTCACATCTTGCAGAGCTAGCCTGGTGGGTGAAAGCTCAGAATGTCTGCCCAAATAAAAGCTCAACCTTCCACAACAGAAGAGTGACCTGAACACATTAGTCTGGGGCAGTTCTGGGTGTGGCTTCACCATATCCCAGAATTCTTGAAAGAAACCCAGAGCCTGCAATATAGAGCTGCAACTCCTGGGAAACTTAATGGGAATTTTTAGGTTTTCATCATGTTCAGCCCTATAAAACTTATGTGAAACATCTACTAACAAGGCAGTTTATGCACCACTCCCTTGGATATGTGCTCCTTCTATGCTGCAAGGTTTGCTCCCACCCACATGTGCTGTTCAGAAGAGTCAGATTTTAGGAGAAATCACTAGGCTTTCTTCCATTTTCAAGATGAGGCATATCTACCCTTTAGGGAGAGTGTTTTTAAGTCCTCTTCACAAATATATTTGCTTGATGTCAAATCACCATCTTTTCCTTTTTCTTCTCCAATTCTGCATTGACAGAATACACCAGAGGGTCATTAAAGAAGTTGGAGAAGTAGTGAAGACTGTTCATCAAATCAGTTGTACCCTAAATCCTACCAGACAACAGAAAAAAACATTTCATGCTTGCTTTCAGGGCTGCCAGCGCATGGCAGCATTGCCTCAACACTGCTTTTTAAGGTAAGCTGCTACACCCTAAACCACTGCAACAGTGTGACTTACTTGTGCTCACTAGTTCTAGCTACTGATGTTAAACTGTCACTTCTAGAAGAAGAAGAACCACAGCATACCCCAGATTTCTCTATCTCTCTTGACATTGTTGTCTTCTCACTGTTCAGGCTTTGATGTTCCAGGGTCTGACAGCCTGAATGCATGGCTAACCTGCACACCTCTGCTACTGCCATGGCTTCAAGAATGTAGATTAAGGGAACTTGCAGAATAATCAATAGAATGTAAATTTTGTTTAGAGGAAGTTCCATTTCCATTCTTTGTGTCTGCACCTGCATAACCTCGCTGTGATCTTATGACTAGTCTGTCAGAGTGAATGTATGTCCACAGCAACAAAACTGTGAAATTATCTTCCTGATCAGACATCCTTTAGCCATACTGATAATTCACTGCAGGAAGATTACTCTCCTGTGACCCTTCAGAACAATGGCCTCACAGATACAGGGATGGCAGCAGCCTCCTTTTTAGCCCCTCAGCCCTTCTGAAGCTTAAGATTTAATCACAGAAAGTCACTGACAGGGCAGCAATTTGCCAAGCTTTGACTGAGAGTCATGCATACTTCCAAGTTGGAGCAGTGCAACAGAGCTCAAAGTCCCCCTTTTTTTTTCATAAGTAAGCAGAGTCATTCTGCCCATCATATTTCTTTCAATTAAATAATCCTCCTCTCTTGTATTTTCTTCCTTTCTCAAGCCAGTTCCAGCCTTCTTTAGGATCCTTTCATCAGCTTACCTAAACTTCCCAGGCTAATTAGGTGTCTGTTAGACCCTCTGATGGTGCTAGGAAATCCACTCTGTTCTGCTGTTGAATTTTATCTTGGTTATCTGTGTGAAGAAGCTTGCTTTTCCAGGTAATTGGCTGAACTGAGCAGTGGCGCTTGTTTCACTGCAAGCATGGGAAATATAGATAATGAATTACCTGTTGTGTCACATATTTCATGATCCTGATAGCCTTTAGAATATTTTTTCCAGTTCCATTCTTTCCTACAGTGTTACAAGTCTACTTGATGAAGTTACTGGCAGTCTTGAGTTCTTTATATGCCACTGCTGTGAAAGATGCATCTGGTTTTCCATTAATATCTAAAGTGATCTTCGTATGTAGCAGCTCTCTAGTTCATTTTACTGCTTATTAGTACCATGTTGGCTACAACATTATACCTACAGCTGAACAGTAAGCAGACAGAAATCCTATCGGTCCAATTAGAAATGCTGTCATTAAAACAACAGAAAATTGTAATATTACAAATAAGAGACTTGAACAATAAATACTACATAATTCTGCAGATCCTAAGACAGTTGCAGCATTATATTCTAGCAAAAAAAAATGTTGAGGCTTTTTCTCAGCAATACTGGTATACCTCAAGCTGAATTTGTATATTACTGGCATTTTATGAGACTTCAATGTTTCTAGCTCTCACCAGGCACATTTCATAAAGATTTTCCCATGATACATCACTTTCTACTTTCACTGGACAAAGACAAGCCTGATAACCTGCTATATTGCATAAGCATATTTCTCCAGTTCATTGAATAATTGGAATTAAATTTTAATTTGTTCCTGAGTAAAGTCCATGAAGCTGCTATATATGTATAATGCTTTCTGTGACATGTGTTCTCTGTAACTCCCAAACCTTCTATTTCTTTGTGCTTTACCTGGATTCAGGTGTCATAACTCATCTGCCTATTCTAAGAGGTACAAAACTGATCCACAGAAGAGAATATACATATCCCGAAACTGCTTATCCCATTGGTCTGAATTTGTACTGACTTTGTAGATAGGGAATACTGAAAAACCTATTCACCCTCAAAAGTTGAAAAAAACCCCCATTCCCCACGTTTTGTTGACTGTAGAGACTTAAAAATCAGTGATGTTCATTTAAGTCAAAACTTTCAAATCTTTTCCAAGGGGAAGGGCAATGATGAGCAAGATTTAATTTTATTATCCAATGAAGTCACCTTCAGGTATTTAGTCAACCCAGTCAAAGGCAGTGATCTGCTTTTCTTTGGGACCAGCTTCTTTTTTTATAGTAGAACTTGCTCTATGCCAGAAATGTGTCTGATTAATGTTGGTTATAGAAACTAAACTTCCACAATAAAATAGTATATTGTTTCTTATGCTTCACAAGTAGAATAAAATCTAGGCAAAACATTTCTGATGTTTAGAATTACCAACCATTGATAAGTGAAGTAGGTGTATTGGGGGGGGCACTGAGTGTTTTTTATCGTTCAAGGTGAAATCAGTACTAAACAATCTCTCATGCACTAGCAGCAATGTAATCAAACAAGCTGACTGGGTAGGAAATAAGGAATGAGGCTAATCAGAAATTTATATTATTTATTGGTGAATGTTTATAGGTGAACTCTGTGTGTGAGGGAATGGAATAAAATGTTTCCCATACAATGCCATTTAAGCTTTAAAGGAGATGAGCAGTTTCAGAAAGGATGTTAGTCATTACTGGTAGGTTGCCTGAACACAGAAAATGCAAGAAAGACTTAATTCCCCTTTTCATTAGAGCTATTATCTCTTTTCTCCCAGCTTTATACATATTCATGCCTGCTTAGAGGGCTCCTTTACACAGCTAAGCATGGGAATTGCTGTTAGTGAAAGTTAGACTCTACTTCATGTTAGAATGTGTGACAGAGAAAACTGACTGGAGCAGCTCATCTACTCCTGGACACCAAATTGTTGCAGGGGAAAATATTTCTTTAACTGATTAAAATGCTAGAGCGGCTTTTCCCTAAATAGCATCTGAATCTTATTGGCCTTGGACACCACGCTTTATCTGAAGTACGTTTCATGCTGGAAGCTGTGCTTCGCATTATGAGGTCTTAAACCCAGGAAAGCATGCAAGGAGAAGAAATTTAAAAAGCATGCAGGAAAACAAATTTAACATCATACAGACAAAACAATGAAAATGTGTTTTCAGATTTGAAATAGATGTACTGTCTGGAATTTCCATTATAAACATAGAAATGCATTTAAAGCCAAAAGTGGTTAGATCCCTGTATAGTCCTATACTGCAGACAGATACACTATTTTTGATTACTTCCGTAGCAGTGGAATTAGGGACAGCATAACCTTCTCAGATTTTGCGTGGCAAATGTCAGCTTCTCATTACAGGGCCATTGTAATAAGTTAGAAAGAATGAATTCTTTAGTTCATACCTTTAGATTTTTACAGTTCATACTGCTGTGACACAAGGCACTTGAGATATTTTGTGTGAAGTCCCAAAGTGCCCGAAGGGCCCTGCCACTCCTGTGCTCTTGCTGCCAAGCAGCACTCAGGCATCTGTTCTTTCAGTTGTTCATTTAAAGGAGCATGGATGCTCCTCATAAAGCTATGCAGAAATTTGCCTTTGCTGATGAGGTAAAATATAAGATACTCTGTGATAGAAAATAAGAGAAGAAAGATGAAAGGTTTCAGATTAGATTTGCTGAACCTCTGTGACTACTTTGCATTACTATACAAGTGAAGCAGAAAGACTTGATTTAGGCCAGAAGTAGTGAGCAAACTGCTAATAGGTATCTTTGACCTTTGTCAAAATGACAGGAATGAATCAATGTGCTACACATTTGCTCATGATACCAACCTCTAATGAAAAGAAATAATAATCGCCACCCAACTGGCTGAGAGTTTTTTTCAGGAAACTACAGCTGAGTTACTGCTGCTTTCTTTAGGAAAATAAAACTGAACACGGTTATTTATCCTCACAGAAGCCCGTGGAAATTCTGCATGTTTTAGGTAGCATAATGCCCTAAACCATTTCTGTTGCTTTAAGAATGGCAAGCTGTTAAATTCAGTCTCATCCATGCCTGTCTTCCACACCTCCCCCTTTCACAGCAGGGCCACAAGTTTTTCTTTTTAATCTTCCCACTCATCTTGGCTGGACACAGAGGGGTCCCCCTCCCCTGGAGCACATCATCCACAGGCTGTCAGCTCCTAAAAACCTCCTGCCTTTACCCACTGTAAACCACTGACCTGAGGGGAAGGTTTCCTCTTGCATGCCCAGGCCCTTGAACCAGTCGGTGCCATTGATGAAGACCTAGAAAACAGTTTTGAATTTGTCTGATTGTTCCAGGTAGAGATGGCTTTTACCGTAACAGCTGCACTGGGCAGGCCTTGCAGTTGTTGGGGTAATGATGGTCTCCTCCCTTCACAGAAACACACTCTGGTGAGGGGTGGGGGGGGTGTGTACAACACCCCCATGCTCAGGAGCTTGTAGAACTACCACTTTTTTTACATCGATCATCAGGACACTGCTATCGTTTGCAGGCGAATGAAATAATTTGCAAACTAAACACTGAATTAAAAACTTAAATCGGCTCAGCTGAACAAGCAGGGAAAGCTTTCGCGCCTCGGGATCTGGCAGACCCGGGTTTCAAACGTGTTTCGGCCGCCAGGATCCGTTCACCTGCACGAGGCCCGCCCGCCCCGCAGAGCCGCGGCCGGCAGGT